TTTTTTTTTTTTTTTTTGAAATTTTTTAACGCATTAAAAAGGGCTGTTAACTATTGTTGTTTTTGTTGATATTATTGTTGAAAATATAGATCAGGAACAAAGTGCGTCAGGTTCTATTATTTTAAAAATTTACACTCATATTGTTCTGTACCTAGTCTAATGTGATTTAGGTAATATCAAATTCTGAACAAGTTTTTGACGCATATTTCATAATGATGGATGTGTTTAAGCGTTTTGTGAAGTTTTTGAGCTGATTTCAAAGCTACTGTGTACTGGTTATGAGCATTTCAATTTCTGCCGTGGGCCAATGCAGGAACGGAAGAGGTGTTTGTTTTTCAAAAAAATGTTATGATGTCACTTTTTATAAAACGGATTGTTTGTATTGGGAGAGGACTCAATAAAATTTGTTAAATTTCAAGTTCAATTGTACTGTATTGTATGATGATATGTTCGAATCTTGATTTGCTTCCATTTGAGCATGTGCATATGATACTTTTTGCCCAACTACGAAATTGTTTTGGACATTTTGTTCTTCCATTTGGCGTACTTCCTTTTCAATAGATATTTTTCATGATATGAGATTCTATTTGCAAGTGTTTGTTATGCCTGTTTTTTATTTTATCTTTTTATACTTTGTAATATTTATTCCTAATTCTTGTTGACTGAATATTAACAGAAGCATAAAAATATTTTCAAAAATAGGCGAGTCGTGAGTGATGCTAGTTCATATATGGAAATTAAGAATTCAGCATTTTGAACCAAATTGCAATGGAGCATTTTGTGATTTATTAACCGTATTTTATGACAAGCAGTTAAATTTAAAAGAACAACTTTTCTTTACTGATGATCGTGTAAGGTATTCAAGATGTAGATAGTATGGACGTACGAGGATTTAACACATTTTTTGGAACAAAAATATAGTGATGAAAAAAAGGTTACCAAAGTATTTTTTGCACAAAACAGCACAAAGTAATAGGCACAACTGTTAGGCAATCACATAAAATGTGATGATTAAATTTTTAGCTAGTTGTGATGCATTACTGCAAATGCTTTCAAAAAATAGAACAAAAAAGAAGGAACGAATAGATGACCTACCGCATCGAAGAAGTATTATTTATTATTATTATTATTGTTATTATCATGATTATTATTATTTACAGACAAAATTCTTTTTTTATCTACCAGCCATAATAGAATGAAAAGCTTTTGCAATCATTATTTATTTCTCTTTTATGACTACGACCTTCAAAATATTGAAGGAAAAATAAGCAAAAAACACCATTAAATATTTTTTATTAAATAGTCGGATGCTTTTGATTT